GATCTTTTTCCACCATTGCCTTACTAAGATGAAAGGATAATCTTACCCTTTTAAGATGAAATCTTTCTATCATATTGTTTCCTTCAAAGCTGCTTTTTGCCATGGTTTTAGAAGCTTATTTTATTTTATTTTATTTTATTTTATTTTAATTTGTTTATATTTGGTTTTAATTTAATTTAATTTCTATTTTTTAATTTTTTTTTTATTTTTATTTTGGTTCAATTTAATATAATTTTTATTCCATTTCATTTTTGGTTTGTTTTCATTTCATTTCATTTCATTTTTTACTTTATTTTTATCTTATTTTTATTTTAGTTTAATTTATTTTTATTTTTGCTTCATTTTTCTTTTATTTTATTTCTAGTTTGGTTTAATGTTGGGGTTTTTCCTATTTTTATTTTTGTTTAATTTTGTTTTCTTTTAATTGGATTTGGTTTTATTAATTTTTTTATTATTCTTTTTGGTTTTACTTAATTTTACATTTCTTTTATTTGTGTTTTATTTTATTTGTATTTTATTATAATTTTTTTTATTTTATTTTATTTATATCTCTGCTCCTTTGGGCCCATTTTGAGGCAAGATCTCCCCTTTTTGGGCAATTTTGGGGGCTCTCTTTCCCTTTGGGGCTGTTTTGGGGCAAAACCTCCTTTTTCTGGGCTGTTTTGGGGGAAATCTCTGCTCTTTTGGGTCAATTTTGGGGAAATACCTCATTTTTGGGGCTGTTTTGGGGGAATCTCTCCTCTTTTGGGTCACTTTTGGGGAAATACCTCATTTTTGGGGCTGGTTTGGGGCAATATCTCCTCTTTTTGGACAATTTGGGGACTGTTTTGGGGGAATCTCTCCTCTTTTGGGTCAATTTTGGGGAAATACCTCATTTTTGGGGCTGGTTTGGGGGAAACATCTGCTCCTTGGGGACATTTTGGTGGAATATCTCCATTTTTGGGGCTGTTTTGGGGCAATATCTCCTCATTTTGGACCTATTTTAATGCAATATCTCCCCTTTTAGGGCAATTTTGTGGCTGTTTTGGGGAGAATCTCTCCTCTTTTGGGGGCGTTTTGCAGCAATATCTCCTTTTGGAGGCTGTTTTGGGGTAATATCTCCTTTTTTGGGGCTGTTTTGGGGGAATCTCTCCTTATTTAGGGCTGTTTTGGGGGAATATCTCTTCTTTTGGGGCAGTTTTGGGGGAATTGCTTCTCCTTTGAGACTGTTTTGTGGCAATATCTCCCCTTTTGGACCTATTTTCATGGAATATCTCCCTTTTTTGGACCTATTTTAATGCAATATCTCCTCCTTTGGATCAATTTTGGGGAAATACCTCATTTTTGGGGCTGGTTTGGTGGAAACATCTGCTCCTTGGGGACATTTTGGTGGAATATCTCCATTTTTGGGCCTGTTTTGGGACAATATCTCCCTTTTTTGGACCTATTTTAATGCAATATCTCCTCGTTTGGGAAAATTTTGACTGTTTTTTCTTCTTTTGGGCCATTTTTTTGGGATCTCTCCCCCCAGGCTCCTGGAGGCCGACTCCAAATCCCTGCGCTCGGTCAACGGGTCGCGCCGCAACAGCGGCTCCTCCTTGGTCTCCAGCTCCTCGGCCTCCTCCAACCTCAGCCACCTGGAGGAGGACACCTGGATCCTCTGGGGCCGCATCGTCAACGAGTGGGACGAGTGGCGCAAAAAGAAGGAAAAACTCCTCAAAGTGAGACAAAAAACACCCACCCCCACCTTTATTTTTAATTAAATTACAGCGTCGGGCTGAGGGACGCAAAGGCCAGATGGTTGTCCAAGAGCAGTGGTGGTCCCCAGGGGTCTGTACTGGGTCCAGTCCCCATCGATGACTTGGGTGAAGGGATGGGACGTCCCCTCAGCACCTTGGGTGGTGACACCCAACTGGGAGAAGCAGGGGACACACCAGAAGGAGGTGCCACCACCATCCAGCGAGACCTGGAGAGTTGGGTGGAGAGGAACCTGCTGAAGTCCCACCAAGGAACTTCATAGGGTGCTCCATCTGGGCAAGAATCACCCCACCAACCAGTAAAACCAGTAGAGGTTGAGGGTGACCTGCTGGGGAGCAGCTCTGAGGACACAGACCTGGGAGTCCTGGTGGACAACGGGGGGACCACGAGCCACCAACGTGTCTTTGTGGCCAAGAAGGTTGATGTTCTCCTGGGGAGCATCAGGAAGAGCGTGGAGAACCTTGAGGTTCTGCTCTGCCCTGGGGAGGCCCCATCTGGAGCACTGGGACCAGTTGTGGGCTCCCCAGTTGCAGAAGGACAGGGAACTGGTGGAGAGGGTCCAGCCAAGGGCTACGAAGATGATGAGGGGAGGAGAGCATCTCTGTGAGGAGGAAGGGCTGAGGGACTTGGGGCTTTGGAGTCTGGAGAAGAGAAGGCTGAGGGGGGATCTCCTGGCTGGGGGGTGTCAGGAGGACGGGGCCAGGCTTTTTCCAGTGGTGCCCAGTGACAGGACAAGAGGGAACGGGCACAAACTGGGACAGGAGAAGGTCCATCTCAACACGAGGAGGAACTTCTCCATTTTGAGGGTGGCAGAGCCCTGGGAGAGGCTGCCCAGAGAGGTGGGGGGGTCTCCTTCTCTGGAGACATTCAAACCCCCCTGGATGGGACCTGCTCTGGGTGGGAGTTGGAGGAGCCGATCTCCAGAAGGTCCCTTCCCACCCCAAACCATCCCGTGATCCCAAACCTGTGAGCGATGGACCAAGACGGTGTCTCCCATCCAACCTTCTTCTTCTCGATCTTCTCAAAACTTGAGGTTTGAAGTTTTTCCACCCCATTTTTGGGGTTTTTTTCCAAGGAGGAGCCGATCTCCAGAAGGTCCCTTCCCCCCCAAAACCACCCCGTGATCCCAAATCTGTGAGCGATGGTCCAAGACGGTGTTTCCCATCCAACCTTCTTCTTCTCGACCTTCTCAAAACTTGGGGTTTTGGAGTTTTTCACCCCATTTTGGGTTTTTTTTCCCTCAGGAGTTGATCCGCAAAGGGATCCCCCACCATTTCCGCGCCATCGTCTGGCAGTTGCTCTGCAGCGCCACCGAAATGCCCGTCAAAAACCAATATTCCGAGCTCCTCAAGATGTCCTCCCCCTGCGAGAAGCTCATCAGGAGGGACATCGCCCGCACTTACCCCGAGCACGAGTTCTTCAAGGGCCAGGACAGTTTGGGCCAAGAAGTTCTCTTCAACGTCATGAAGGTCAACCTTTTTTCCTTCTTTTCCACCAATTTTGGCCTCAAACTCAACCCCCTCCTTGAGATTTGAAGATCCCACCCCCCTATTAATTTCTACAAGGTTTGGTTTCCACCACAAAGTCTTGAAAATGCCATTTTTTGGCCTCGACGGCCTTTTTTTCTCAAAAAAACCACCTTGTTCCCCCTCGTTTTCCCCCCCTCGAGAAATTTTCCCCAGTTTATTCTCAATTAAAACCCCCAAAATTAAGTATTTTCGGGTCGAAACTCAAGCGTTGAGCGACGTCGTGCTCACGTCATGCTCAAAAAAAACTGATTTTTGATGGTTTCCACCCATTTTGGGCCTCCCACGGCCAACGGGGGGTGGTGACCCGGCCGAATTCCACCTCATATATATTTATTTTGATTTTTTTTCCCCTTTTTTCCCTTTTTTTCCTTTTTTTCCAGGCCTATTCCCTGGTGGACCGCGAGGTGGGCTATTGCCAAGGGAGCGCCTTCATCGTGGGTCTTCTCCTCATGCAGGTGAGGACCTTCCTCCTCAGGGTGAGGAGGAACCTCCTCGATGGGTTCTTAACGCCCTCCGTTGACGCGGGAGAAGGAGGTTGAGGAAGAGGAGCCTTTTTCTTCATCCTCAGGAGGAAAAAGGGCTCGTTCCCACCATCCCAGTCACTCCCGATGGGTTGAAACCCCCCCCCGTTGACGTGTCCCACCCCATCCCATCCCATCACCTGATGGAAAGAAGCCCCAAATCCTCACCCCTGGAGGAGTTTTTGGGGTAAATTCACGTCTTTTTGGGTCTCCAGATGCCCGAGGAAGAGGCCTTCTGCGTCTTCGTGAGGCTGATGCAGGAATATCGCTTACGGGAGCTCTTCAAACCCAGTATGGCCGAACTGGGGCTCTGCATCTACCAGTTTGAGTACATGCTGCAGGTAGGGACCGCTCCACAGCCCTTCCCAGAGTGCTCGGGGTGGTGGGACCTGGTGGGTGGCACCTCCGTGAGAACCTGGGGACCATCCATGACACCCCAAGGACCATCCGTGAGATCCTGGAGACCATCCAGGAGGTCCTACCCCAGGGGACCCTCCATGAGA